TATTTATTTTTAAATTTGTTAAAGAATTTGACTCGAAACAAATAGTACTCAATACACTGCTTTATAGCTCAAGCGATTGCCTCATTTCCACTAATAAACCCTAAGCCGTAACAAAGGGCTCCAATGTGGCCTTGGCAATGCACACGAAAAGTTTAAACAGGGACACCATTCATGCGCAACATGGCACTGTTAGTACTCTGATATTTTTCAGCTGTTGATAGAATCAGATTGTGAATATCCTAATGTAATTATAGATAAAGCATTCCATAACGCAAAACTAAAAGAACCAGCGCCACAAAAGAAGTCTAAAGAAATTTTTCCTTTAGTGAAAACATTCTATAGTAATCTCAATTGTCAACCTTTAATATCAGAAACTAACCTTTTACTCAAAGTATCACAGAATGAAAGAGTCAAAAATGTTTTTTCTAATATTCATCTGGTATTAGCTTTTAAACAACCTCCTAACTAATTAAGAAGAATTACTTCTTCAAAATTTGAGACAAATAATAAGAAGATTAGCATATTTAAATGCAAAGACATTCGATGTAAAATATGCAAACTCTACCTTCAAAGAGTAGATGCGTTTGAAACTTTCAATGGTACTCTCTGCAAAATAAGTCACATCAAATGCAACAGCAAAAATGTAATTTTTTACCTTAAATGTTTGGCATGCAAAAAACAAGCCACATATACTGGCAAAACTAATAATTTATGATTACGAATAAATGGATATAATTCTAGTTGCAGAACTGGCCTATCACCTGATAGATTTGACAACCACGTTTATACCTGTTAACACTCCCACCAAAATGTAATTGAACCTTTTTTTCAACTTTTTGTTTTCCTTGAGCTTAACAATAACAGTTTTTTGTTATCATATGATAACAAAAAACTTTCATTGTTAAGCTCAAGGAAAACAAAATACATCCTGTGTATTATTAGAATTGAATTTATCAAAATAGTTACTCATAGCAACAATATGCAATTATATTTATTTTGTAAACAAAAATCTTGCTACAATACCCAAACAGCACTACTGATAATTTTTTGAAAGGCTTCTAGTGCTTAAAGTTTATTTAATTAATTATATAAAAATACTTTGTATTAGTGTATTTTTAGGAAAAATAAAAAAAATATTTTCAGCAATAAATAATTTGAGAAAAAAAGATTTACTTTTGTTTACTAGCTTGACTATCTTTTGCTTTATATTGGTTCAAAATCAAATTTCAAGTATACATATATATATATATATATATACGTATATATATATATATATATATATATATATATATATATATATATATATATATATATATATATATATATATATATATATATATATATATATATATATATATATATATATATATATATATATATATATATATATATATATATATATATATATATATATATATATATATATATATATATATATATACATATATATGTATATATGTATATATGTATATATGTATATATGTATATATATATATATATATATATATATATATATATATATATATATATATATATATATATATATATATATGTATATATATATATATATATATATATATATATATATATATATATATATATATATATATATATATATATATATATATATATATATATATATATATATATATATTTATATTAATATATTTACATAAAGTTAATTATATTATATGTAGTTAATAAATGATTTTGATACAAACAGTTCTTTCAAACTTGAGTTATAAATGTTATGATCAGGTTTTCCCTTTGCCCTTAAATTTTCTGTAGAAGAATTTCTTTTATAAATTGAACCAAACTTTAAACCAAATAAAATATTTTAATGGAAGTGAAATTTAAAAAATCTGAGATAAAAAGCAGTAACCTTTGTTTAATTACAATTTTTATATAATCAAAAGTCAGATAGCACAAACACTTTTTTATAAAGGAGAAAACCCAATTTAATTGTGTAGTAGTAAGTACATATGAATCAATCATAACCAAGTGTCCCCTTATTTAAAAAAAAATAACCAAAAAAACAAATGTTTTAAAGAAAAAAAAAAAAAAGTTTAAATAAGCAGAAGATTACAAACTAAGGGCGTTTTTTTTTAATTAGCATTTAAATTTTTAACTATAATTTCTTTTAAAACAATATTGTTTGTTTTAAAGATTTCATTTCAAGACTTGCAATAATTTTAGTGTGGTTTTAAATTTAATTACAATGAGGTATTATAAAATACGCAACTGACGCAATTTTTTTAACAATGTAAATATCTTTATTGAGTAAAGTTGCATTTATCACGTTGTGTATAAAAAGTTTTTCGTTATGCAAAAAAATCTTATAACAAGGCCTATAATATATACCTACATGTATATTTTTCTTGTCGTCATTTAAAGGGACATGTTTTTTTGTGTTCCCATTATGTTTATTTTTTATCACTTTTTTAATACTATGTTTATCATATTTATATAATTTTTTAAATTTTTATTTTATATATATTTCATTTCTATATTTATTTATAAATATTTAAATTTATTATTTTATAATTACAGTACATTTTTTATATTTATTTTTATTATTTTTATTTATTAAAATGCGCATTTTTTCTATATCGCTAAAATGCGGATTTTTTTAAACAGTTTTTTAAGCATATATTTTAAATTGATATGCCTACGTATTTAATAAGTTTTATACTATAGTTAAAAGTTATAGTAAAAACCAAATTTGACAAATAAAATTTTATGAGATTCTTTTATAGATTGACAACTTTTAAAGCCTGATTACACTGAATGTTTTTATTTTGATCAAAAACTGTTATTTATTTTTAAATTTTAATGCCAGTTTTAACTAGTTTTTCACTTTTAGTTTTGAAATATAATTTTTTTTGTTAATAAAAAGTAAAATTATTAAACAGGGAGAAGAGGTTCATGATAAGTCTGGGGTGGATAGGAAAATTTTTAGAATGCTAAAAAACTTCCCTTTAAATGTATTAAGCATGCTTAATACATTTAAAGAGACAGTGGTGTACCCTCTGAATTTTTCCCAGTCACCCTGCGGACACACTCTTATAAGTAACAAAATGCTTGGTTGCAAGCCGGGCTACTGACAGACTTTTTTTAAATTTCAGTCGCCCTTGGAGAAAACGGGTACCCCTGTGCCACTGGATGCCATGAGGGTACACCACTGTGAGAGTAGGCATCAATAATTTTTATAAAATTTTTTACAATGCTTGTTATGATTTTATTTTCAACCTATCACTAGCTACTATTAATTTTGATTTCTATGGGGGAATTCTATGGCAATTCTTTGCAGTAACACAAACAAAAGAAAAAATAATCAAATCATTACTTTAAAAAGTTGATATTTTTTTTTTAAAGACATTTACTATAAAAACTACATACTTATATAAATAAAAAATATAATTATTAATACGATAATCATTTATACTTTATATGAAAAATCCTTTGTAGTGATTTGTTAGTGTATTTATTATTGTTTCAAAAATATAAAAACATTATTAAAGATTTTCAATTCAAATTTTTTTAAAAAAAAATTTTTTTTTTTTTTTTTTTCTCAACAAAATGTTTCTTTTTGAGTTTATAAATTTTAATGATTATTTTTTAAAATTAATTAAAAAGACAATTGTTGTTTAAAGTTTACGCTTATAATTTTTTTTTTTTTTTTAATTACATTTATTATTAAAAAAATATATAATTAAATAATAAAATAAAAATGTAATAACATTTATCGATATTTAAGTTAAAAATGTTAGTTACTTTATTTTAAAAGCACCTATATAAAAATAATATATAAAAGTAATATAAAAACGCCAATTAAAAGATAGACGTCTTAAAGTTGTTTATTTTTAGCATAATTAAAAACATTTTTTAGAGTATTTTGAAATTGCTAAACCTTGATCAAATTGTTAAAAAAAATATTATTTGAGTAGTCATAAAAAGGTATGATTTTGCATGCCTTCCTGGAGAAGCTTGTTATCAGTCTATATAAATATATTTGATGAGAAGAAAAAAAATTTTTACAAATTATTTTATACAAAATGATTTTAAATAAATAAGTTACTTTTTTATCAAAAGCCTTTTCATAAAAATATACATGTTTACAAAAATTAGGTAATATTGAAAACTAACTTGGCTAATATTCCGAATTGAAATTTTGTTTAACTAATAGCTTGTAAGCTTGGAATTATGGAAAAACTGTAATCAACAGAATAAGCTTTTTTCAATTCTAATACCACTCTTGAATCTTAGGCAAAAACACAAAAGGGTGTTTATATCAACATAATTCATTCTAGTCTGACAACTATTTAAAAATAATTGTCAGGACATTGCTCTAGGTCATATACAAATTGAAACAGCTATTATTTATGAGTATGTTCTGCAATAGATTATTAGCTTATATTTCTTCCAATTCCCACTAACATGAGGTTAAATTACATCAAATGTATTAAACACAATAGCTGATAGATTTGCAGTAATCCATTTTACCATTAATAAAATATGTGACACCAGGGAGAAAAATTGAATGAGCCAAATCACAACTTGCATACTTTAAATTTCAAACAAAAAAAATACTTAAATTTTGTATTTGTAATTTAAAAAAATATATTTTTTTGAATTTAAATGCATTTATATATTTAATTTTAAATACTTAGTAAACTAGGTATTGAAATAAATTGATTTAACTTACTTGCGTCCCTGCTGTGGTAATCGAATCTCACTCTGGTCCTTAAATGTTTTTATTGGTTATTTAAATTAACTCTAAATGAGCAAACTGGAATAAAAAGTTCTTTTGACTAAAATTCTACCGCAAAGGCAAAAGGTAGAAGTTTAACATTAAACTGCAAGTGAAAGTCTGTCTTTGAATAGGTAGAACATGCGAGGAGTGTATGTATATAAAATTGATTAAAAAAAAGTATAAAATAATTATACTGTATCCAGTTTAACTAAACTTTAACTAAAAATTAAAATTATGAAAATTTTACCATTTAATGTATCTAATGTATACAAGCCACGCTCTTTAAACTGTTTTCCAAAATTTATTACAGCATTTATTTGATCATAGCCATTAAAGTAGCCATAATGAGCAGTAAAGAAATTTTCTTTAGGTGATGGCAACTTACGAAGCGGATGATAAAAACGTTTTAAAATATTAGCAAAAAACAGTGAAAAACACAAAAAAATTAATACTGCTATGCCGATTGTATACATGCTTTTTTATAAAAAATTTAAAAAGAAAAAAAAAATTTATAGCATGACTTAAAACTAAATAAATAATCCTCGCGGTTAAGGATTTTTACTAGGGGTGGAATATTTGAATTCCGGCCGCAACCGGATTCGCCGGAACTGTCGGCCGAAACGAGATTTATATTTAGGTAATTTTTTACCTTTAACATTGATAGTGAAAGCCTGCACCTCTGCATCGTGGCTACATAATATATTTATAACCTATATATATATATATATATATATATATATATATATATATATATATATATATATATATATATATATATATATATATATATATATATATATATATATATATATATATATATATATATATATATATATATATATATATATATATATATATATATATATATATATATATATATATATATATATATAATATATATATATATATATATATATATATATATATATATATATATATATATATATATATATATATATATATATATATATATATATATATATATATATATATATATATATATATATATATATATATATGTATATATATGTATATATATATATATATATATATATATATGTATATATAAATATATAAATATATAGATATATATATACATAAATATATATATATATATATATATATATATATATATATATATATATATATATATATATATATATATATATATATATATATATATATATATATATATATATATATATATATATATATGCTTTGGACGGGTATGAATAAATAAAATCTTTTCCTAGAGTTTAATATTTAAAATTTGTCTTATCAGGTCAGGTCAGGTTTTCCTGCTACTGGTAACATGTAACCCAGTACAACCTGCTCCATGTCCTGCTGCCTTGTAGGATACGCTTTTTTAGGCAAAGGCTAGGAGAAGTTAACTCCGAATTAAAACACCCCCTGCCTTGGGGCTCTTGGTTGAGTAAAGGCTAGAGATGGTGTCTCGATAAAAATACTCATCTTGGGCAGATGTTACATGCATCCAGCTGCTGTCTTGTAGAAGGCCTCCTAGGCAAAGACTTAAGGGGTAAACAGATTCTATCTGTTGACCAGCCTCGCACCCCTTCCTCATCTATTAGGCTGGCGCAGATGTATTTTTAATACATTGTTTCCAGTTTAGGATGTTGAACGCTGGATCTTCTTGACTCAATGCGTGGGTATTGCTTGTGTCTCTATTTTTATGACTGGGCAACTCATTCTATTATCTCCTAATGAGGGTACAGCTCTAAAACTCAGTTTTATGGTTCTGAGGCCGGCTGGTAGTCAGGTTTCCCGAACTCTGTGGTAGCTCTCAGAGAGGCTGATTCCATCAACAGCCGAAAAATATCAGAGTACTAACAGTGCCATGTTGCGCATGGATGGTGTCCCTGTTTGTACTTTTGGTGTGCATTGCAGAGGCCACATTTGGAGCCCTTTGTTACGGCTTAGGGTTTATTAATAGTAATGAGGCTATTGCTTAGTTGTTAAATAGTGTACTGAGTACTATCTACACTTGAGTCAAGTTCTTTATAAATTTAAAATGACTAAAGTACCTAAAACTAAAAAACACAAAAAACCATCGTCATCACCAAGTTCTCTAAACCTATCATTTACTAATATTCGTGGTCTTCGAAGTAACTTTTCTTCTGTTGAGTCTTATCTCTTGCAAAGTTCACCAGACGTACTTGCTCTTTGTGAGACTAATTTGAGTTCGGCTGTCCCATCTTGTGATCTTAGTGTTGATGGTTATCTTCCTTTAATTCGTAAAGACTCCAATAATCACATGCTTGGCCTGGGCATCTACATTCGTAAGAACTCACCCATTTGTCGTGAAACTAGGTTTGAATCTACAGACTATTCATTTATGTGCTTTCGCTTAGCACAACTTCACTCTATCGCCTTTCTCTTTGTTCTATATCGCTCTCCTTCATCCCAAGATTGCACTATTCTTGATGTTATTTCTGATCAAATTGACCAAGCCCTCTCTCTTTATCCATCGGCCAATATCGTCGTTGTTGGTGACTTTAATGCCCATCACACCGATTGGCTTGGCTCTAGTGTCAGTGACTCTGCTGGCGTTAAGGCCCTCAACTTTTGCCTTTCTCAATCTCTAACTCAAATAGTCAACTTTCCAACTCGTTTTCCAGACAACCCTAATCATTTACCTTCTCTACTCGACTTATGTCTTGTTTTGGATCCTAGTCAGTGCTCAATTTCTCCACATTCACCCTTAGGTACTTCTGATCACGGTTTGATCTCTCTAAAACTATTATCAAATTCTTCTACTTCATCAGAATCCCCCTATCATCGTACCACATACAACTACCTTAAAGCTGACTGGGACTCTTTCCGTGATTTTCTTCGTGATGGCCCTTGGGTAGAAATCTTTCGTCTTCCTGCTGACAAATGTGCTTCTTACATAACTTCGTGGATTCAGGCTGGCATGGAATCTTTTATTCCCTCTCGACGATTCCAGGTCAAGCCTCACTCTTCTCCTTGGTTTTCCTCACATTGCGCTGCAGCAATTTCTAATCGAAACCGTTACTTCCATATCTATCAGCAAAACAATTCTCCAGATAACAGACATCTGTTCACTATCGCCAGAAACCATTGTAAAAAGGTTTTGTCTGACGCCAAAGCTCGCTATTCCCAGGTCATTAAATCTCGTATCTCATCACAAAAATTAGGCTCTCGAGACTTCTGGAGAATCTTTAACAGTATCAATAATAAGGGCAAATCTGTTATTCCTTCTCTCTTGTATGGTTCAGACTTTGTCACCTCACCTAAAGACAAAGCTGAATTGTTTGCTAAGAACTTTTCATCAATATCATCTCTTGATTCCACTAATTGCGTTTTACCTGACATAGCCGTCAAACAGGTTGATCCCTTGCTTGACATTCGCATCACTTCAGCTTCTGTATCTAAAGTAATTTCCTGCTTAGACTCTTCAACAGCTTGTGGTCCTGACAACATTCCTGTTGTAGTCTTGCAGAGGTGTTCTCCGGAGCTTTCATCCATACTTTCTAAACTATTTAACAAGTGCTTATCAGAGTCTTGTTTTCCATCATGCTGGAAAGCAGCATCTGTTATCCCTATTTTCAAAAATTCCGGAGAGCGATCTGATTCATCTAACTACCGTCCCATTAGTCTTCTTCCTGTCATAAGCAAGGTTTTTGAATCTTTAATCAACAAACACTTAATCTCTCATCTTGAATCAAATAACTTACTTTCTGATCATCAATATGGATTTCGGTCTTCTCGTTCTACAGCTGATGTGCTAACAGTAATAACCGAAAGGTTTTACCGTGCATTAGATAGAGGTGGAGAGGTTAAGGCTATCGCACTTGACATTTCTAAAGCTTTTGATAAAGTTTGGCATGCTGGTCTTCTCCATAAGCTTTCTTCTTATGGTGTAGCTGGTAACGTCTTTAAGATTATTGAGTCCTTTCTTTCCAATCGTAGTATAAAAGTTGTCCTCGATGGACAACACTCTTCTTCACATCCTGTAACTTCAGGGGTTCCTCAAGGTTCAATCCTTGGCCCTATACTCTTTTTAATTTACATTAACGATCTTCCAGATATTCTCACATCTAAGGTGGCATTATTCGCTGACGACACTACCATTTACTCTTGTCATGATAAGAAGCCTACACTTTCTGATTGCTTGGAGGGGGTATCTGAGCTTGAAAAGGATCTCACTTCTGCTACAGCATGGGGCTCACAGTGGCTGGTGAACTTTAATTCAGATAAAACTCAATTTTATTCGGCCAATCGTTATCGTAATAATTTAGATCTTCCTATATTTATGAATGGTAATGTACTAGATGAGTCATCTACCATTCATCTTCTAGGATTAACTCTTACTTCTGATCTTTCTTTTAAACCGTATATCAAATCCATTGCAAAATTAGCATCTGCTAAGGTTGCATCTCTTTATCGAGCTCGACACTTTCTTACTCCAGATTCTATTCTCTATCTCTATAAATCTCAAATCCGTCCCTGTATGGAATACTGTTGCCACATCTGGGGCGGATCTTCTAATGATGCTCTTTCTCTTTTAGACAAGGTGCAAAAACGAATTGTAAACATAGTTGGACCTGCTCTGGCAGCCAATCTCCAACCTTTGTCACATCGTCGTAATGTTGCTTCTCTTTCTCTTTTCTACAAATACTATAATGGGCACTGCTCTAAAGAGCTAGCGTCCCTTGTGCCATCTACTAAAATTCATTCTCGTGTTACCCGCCATTCAATTAAGTCTCATCCTTTTTCTGTGACTGTTCCTAAGTGCTTCAAAAACTCTTATTCTTCTAGTTTTTTTTCCTCGAACATCAGTTCTTTGGAATTCGCTTCCTTCATCTTGCTTTCCTGATTCATATAATTTGCAATCTTTTAAGTCATCAGTCAATCGTTATCTTGCTCTACAGATTTAGTCTTTTCTCTTCCAGTAACTTCCAACTCTTATAGTGGTTGCTTGCAGCCTTGTTGGAAGTGAAGATGTTAAAAAAAAAAAAAAAAAAAAAATATATATATATATATATATATATATATATATATATATATATATATATATATATATATATATATATATATATATGTATATATATATATATATATATATGTAGATATATATATATATATATATATATATATATATATATATATACATATATATATATAGGCGCTTTCAGAGGGGGAGCCATTTGGGCCATTCGGCCTGGGCCTCCGATTTTGTTACGACCTCACATTTTCAAAACACATTTGTTTAACACGAAAATAATTATCAAAGTAATTATTTTAATCTAGTTATTCTAAACAATTTAACTTTAAGTTAACTTAAATTAATAAATTAATTTCTTTTTCATAACTACACGTTTCCAAACCTAAATTCTACATGATAAAGATTACGTTATGTAATGATGCAATTAACCCTCCGTCGGGCGGCTTGATCAAATTGATACAATTACTTTTAACTCGTACAAGTTTTTAAGTTATGACTTAGTGTTCTGCTTTTTAGTAGCTTTATTTTTTCTTAAGATTTTGTGTTGCAATTCATCAAACAAGATTAAAT